ATCTTCTCTTAGAATATCCTCAAGACATTCGCAATGGTTTTGGCAAACATTCTAGGGACATTCTTCCTGAAAAAAAGAACATTCCCATTACATTCTAAGGATACAATTTTGTTATGTGGGAGTATACATGCTACTGCAGAAAGTTGTACCTAATTTTAAACACGACAAATATAGTCAGAATATTTTTGAGTCAAGAATAAGCGAGAGTATTTGGTGTGAACCCTTTCCTTGTCAAATATAAACCAGGAAAACCTGAGCCTGAGAGTAACACATAATAATGATAGTACATAGAATTCTCTGGGATCAAAGCACATCGAGAAGCAATCAAAAGCAACATTATTGTAAAAAGCATAATAAATGATCAGAAGAGTGGTTAATCAAGGGCAAGACCTGGAGAGTTTTATGTGCTACCTACCAAAATGGATTTCTGGAGGCGAGCAGTAGGAAAATCTCGAATGGAGAAAGTCAAGAACCGACAGTTGGAGAAAGTAGATTAGTGGACATTAGAACAAAACATTTGGTATGGTCTAATGGCATACAATGAACAGGAAACCATGGAGTTATGCAAAGTTTCGCCGTTTTTGAGAAGTCAGCATTTTTGGGAAATATTTAAATTGTTCCTTAAACATCCGTTTTTTTTTTTTTTTTTGGTAGTAAATACTTTAACCTTCCCCAATTTTTTTCCGATATTCTGATAGGCAATCTTTCAGAAAAATACGGAAAGCAATATTGGAAAATGAACTAAGAAATAAAAGAACTTGTTAATTATCGATATTCAATATAATTAAACTTTAGTTTATTAATTTTTGGTCCACTGATATGAATATCAGTTTATCCAACAAGAAAAACCGGATGATTGATATTAAAAATATGTGGCCCAAGTTATGTGTTGAAATACATGGATTACAAATATCTAGAAATGGCGATATGTCAAAAAACGGCTAAACTTTGCATAGAGGTAGGTAAATATGTTCAAACAGCTCCCAAATGACCCAAACTATCACTCATTGAAATTTTCCCATCGATGTACCAAACACCCTGTACCTATAAGTATTATAATTGTGTGGGACTTAATAACCTGCGTAGTGGGTACTTATTCAATGTTAAAATCGTCAAACTATTTTTTTTAATCACCCCAAGCATTTGATTTCCATTTCCCAGATAAAAATTAGGATTTACTGAAAAGCATAGTATCCTCAACTAGAAGTTTTGGCTTTTCAGAGAAAGCTGGGTATTATATTTGTTTTTACAAGAGAAAGTCAATAGTCAATAGTTTTGGACACATAAAACTCCAGTTTTCTCTTTTAAAAGCTGCCATCCAGGCGTACCTATTTCACTATATCAAAAAAATTCAATAAAGAACAATGTCGTTTCTGTTCCAGGAATATTAAGAAAAAAAATAAAGCTTAGTAATAAGACTAGCAGTCGAAACAACAACCTTACTACAATCTCTAGAAAATGCCAATGCTATAGAGGGTGAGTGTGAGATGGGGATTCGCTCGGAGTTATCCAAAATTAAAAACAAAAACTTATTAGATCAAGGTTCATTTAACACCGCAACAATAAAGTCAATAAAGAAAAAAATATCAGAGGGACACTTGGTTCTTACTAAGGCTGACAAGGGAAATAGTGTAGTAGTGTTACATAAAAAAGATTATGATGAGAAAGTCTTGAAATTTGTTAGGGAGAATAATTTTGAAATATTTAACCCCAAATTCCCCACTTTTATAAAAACAGTTAACTCAGTAATGAAAGAATGTACATCTACAATATCAAAAGGCTTGATCTATCATTTATCAGCTAATAATACCACAATCCCAAGATTATAATATGGTCTATTGAAAGTACACAAATCAGACATTTTCTCCGAAATGCCCATAAGGCCTGTAGTTTCCTTCACAAACTCTCCAACTTATAAATTGGCAAAGTGGCTAAATGTAAAATTTAGAGAAGTATACAATTGTGTTTTTGAGAATACAGTTTTGAATAGTACACAATTAGCAAATAAAATTAAAGATGTGCCAATACCTAACAATGCTCTAATGATTTCACTTGACGTTACAAATTTGTTCACCAATGTCCCAACTAATGAAGTTTTACAAATAATTAAAAATAACCTACATGATAGTACACTCTCAGACATTGAAGCAGTTGAATTGATAAAACTATTAAATATTTGTTTAAAACGAAATTTCTTTGTTTTCAATGAAACGATCTACCGTCAGGAAGATGGACTTTCTATGGGATCTCCTTTATCACCATTGTTAGCTGACATATTTATGGATTTTTTTGAAACTAACCATATTCTAAAGAACAACCCTTTTTGTGGGAACATAATATATTATTATAGATATGTTGATGACATTCTTCTTTTATGGTCAGGCAGTAGAGAACAACTAAACGATTTTATTAACAATATTAACTCAATTCATCAAAAAATAAAATTTACTGTTGAAATAGAAACCAACAAATCTATTAATTTTCTAGATCTTACAATAAAAAATGTAAACAATAAACATCACTTTGCAATTTATAGAAAACCTTCTCATACAGGTGTAATAATACACCAATCGTCTTTCCACCCTATGTCACAGAAATTAGCTGCCCTCAGCAGTTTTGTCAATAGATCCATAGACATCCCCCTGTCCGAAGACGCTAGAGAGATGGAAATCAAAATAATTAAACAAATAGCTCAAGACCACAATTTTGACCCTAATATAGTCAATAAGCTCATACAGAAGAAATTATTGAGGAATTTAGCTAATAATTCATATTTACCAACAACAAACACTAGTGTAGGGGGCAACACAGGAAGATTTTTCTCATTAACGTTTAATGGTGATATATCATATAAAATACAGAAGATCTGTTCACGTCACAATATTAAAATAGCTTCCAAATCAAAGAATACCTTAAGTAATTTTTTCATAAATAATAAAGATAAAATTGACCCTTTACTCAACCCTGGTGTATACCAATTGGCTTGCGGTTGTGGAAAAATTTACATTGGCAGAACAAAGAGAAATTTCAAGACACGCTTCTCAGAACACTGTAGATGTGTTAGGTTAAATAACACAGAATCACTGTTTGCAAAGCATATTTTGGAAACGGAAACCTGTTTTGAACCAATGTTAAAAAAGTGAACGCGAGAAAACGGCTTAGATGTTTTTTTGGTGTTTCAATCCAAACTAAAAATACTATACTAAGGTACTCTTCTAAACTGAATGCCAAAAATTTACTTAACCCTCCCTCCAGCAGAATGGGGTGAACCAAACTTTCATAAAAAAATCGCCAACTTATGTTTCACCCTGTATCTTTCAGCAGGTGGACGGAAATCTTTTAGCAAATGGAAATTGATTAGCAATTAGAGCAGCCTTTCACTCCTGAAAATTTGAACAAAATCGGCTTGCTAGATTTTGAGTTATGGTCTTACAAAAAGTGACCAAAAATTGGGGTGTTCAAGTTCGATTGATGCGTAGAAATTCACCTGACCGTCATTCTACCGCTTGCACATTAAAAAACACGATGGTATTCTGCATACACATTGATGTTTTTGTTCGCGCGTTTATGTATGTGCGTGTTCTCAGACATCCACGTCCGTGTACAACCGCCTTATACAAATCCCGGTACCGTTCTTCACGCCCGTTATTCTGATACAACGTGAATCTGCATTCATCCACAAACAAACATCCCTACCATTCAGCTATTCCCAGTGTCTATTGTCTATGAATATTAGCCCAGTTTATTCGTGCTCTTCGATGGACTGCTTATAATAATGGACATGCTGTCTGGCTCTTAAATTTCTCTTATGGAGACGTCTTTGGATTGTTGATTTTGAGGCTTCAATTCCTAACGCGATCCTTATTCGCGAAGAATTGAGAGCTCTGTATTGGCGCACTGGTAAAAGAATTCTGTTGTCATCCCGGGCCGAAGTAATTATTCTTGGTTTACCACCTGCAATGTCTATGAGCAGTGGTGCCAGTGTTAAAACCCATTTTATTGGCCATAAAATTGCGCGACTTTGCCCTAATTTAACCGACCTCGTATCTTTAATAATATCCAAGATACCTCTGGTTAGAAAAATAAACACACTGTATATTTTTGTATGACCCTGTATAATATGTTTTAAAGTGTGTTTCCACATGCGCCATAATTGTAGTGTTTGTTTTGAAAGAAATAATAACGTCAATAGCTATATTTTACATAAAATCACATAACTCAAGATAAAACCGTAGTGGGTTGCGATATTCAAAAAATCTCAAAAACGTCCCGAGGTACTAAGGTACTCTTTCAAACTGCATACCAAAAATCTACTCAACCCTCCCTCCAGCAAAATGGGGTCAACCCAAACTTTCGCACAAAAATCGCTTATGTTTCACCCTGTATCTTTTAGCAGGTGGCCGGAAATATGTTAAGAGCTGGAAATTAAATAGCAATTAATTAGAGCATCCTTTCACTCCTGAAAATTTTAACAAAATCGGCCAGCTAGATTTTGAGTTATAGCCTTTCAAAAAGTGACCAGAGAGATTGGGGTGTTCGAGTTCAATTGACGCGTAGTTTATTAGATGGGGATATGCATGCTATCAAATTTCATAGGAAACAGAAAAATTCATATTTATCTGATCGTTATTTGAAATTATTAATAATTTATTTTCAGACCATAAATAAATAAATTATAATTTTTAAGTACCTGAATATTGAGCAAATGCATACTCCGAGTTTAAAAAATAAGGGCGAAAAAATGTGTAGGTATAGAGAACATTTACCGCAGAACAGTACTTAACTAATATTATAAATTAGCATAATCAGAGTTCAAAATAGTTTTGATGGAAAACATTATTATTTACTGATGTACAATTTTTCCGCCTACAGCTTCCAGTTCTCTCAAATTTAAATGAAAACAAACTGATTTCCTTCCATTCGCCCACTTACTAAAAACCCATGATTCGTCGCAATCGGACTTTTCGCAGACAGGACGGAGCAGTTGTTCACCCTCGGCCCTCGGAAATTCCAGTTTCAGTATCGGTTCGAGCTTCGAGCGGCGCAGATAAAAATAAAAGTCGGTGCTTGACGAAGTTTACATCTACAACGGACATGTCGATATCAAAAAGTCGCAAAAAAACGCCCCTGCTGTAAATCTAAAGTTATTATAACAGAGATGTAACTCATGGAATATTAAATTGCCGAGTGACAACTTGCCTGAGACGAGTTTTCAAGATCTAGGTTATGTTTCTGCTTGCGAATTTACTGCTACAGCGGCCAAGAACCAGGATCGGTCGCACAGTTAATCTTTGAATGTCCAAGTTCAGTGTCTGCATTTACGGTGTTTAACAATTTCAATTATATATATAGCTGACTAAGTATTTAACTATAGTTAATAAGACTATCGCGTAAAAATGGCGCTAAATCACGCTCTCAGTGCAATTATTCTACTAACTTGCATAGCGTGCTACTACAACAGTTGTTATTGTGATTTTGTTTTCGATGATATCAGTGCTATCAAAGATAATCGTGATTTGAGACCTCACACTCCGATATCGAACTTGTTTTTCAATGATTTCTGGGGTACACCCATGCATAAGGTAAGGGGTGTTGTGCTGGATGTTACATTAGAATTAGATTAGTTTGGCTTATAGACCTAACATCTTACACCCTTTACTCTTTAGTTTCTAGACAATTAAAATTTTCCGAAAAAAAAAATGTAATTAGGCTCTTACAATAGTGAATACTTGGAATGTTGAAACATTTAATACACAATTCAGTAGAATTATATATTTATATCTAAACTTATACCGCAACTAATCTAACCAACTTATTCAAGTATATATTTATGGTAGCCACTAAACTTATTCTAAATCTGTTAGACTTTTAACTTGATGAATGAAAACCTTTATAATTTTAATTGGTTTACGCGCAAGGACATAGAACTAAAATAAAGAAAGCCTAAATAAATGCCTCTAACACTCATGACTCAGTAAAATTTTTCCTCTGTTTTTTTTTCCCCATTTATTTCTGCCACCCAAAAAGTTCTGAACGCATAACACAAGTGCCAAGTTCAGCTTCTGTGATTATTACTTTATTTCCAAAGCCAATTAATGCAAAGGGGATCAAAGAACGCACCTGGGATCAGTTAACAGCAGAGATGCTTGGCTTAGTGCAAGACCCTATGTAACCTTTTAGCAATAATATTGCATTATATTATGTAGGTATTCTCGTTCTTATACAATTTCATGATACTTGCAATTTTCTTTTTGTTCAATACAATTATTCTTATGCAACAATTTATTTAATGCACTCCTACTAAGACCAAAATATCAACTGTCATTGACCTCTTGAAACCCATGTCTTTGATCTTTGTGTTTAATTTAGCAATTTACCTTGATGTCTGACCAGTTGTTAAGTTCGGGAACCTTTAATGCTCGCTTGAATATGTTGTATAATAGTAGGCATAAAATAATACCTAAGTCCTTTTTTAGTTTTGAAATTTTTCATGTATCATGCTAGGTAATAGTTGGCAGAATTTAGTTTTTTTTTTTTTTTAAATAATGAGTTTTAATGGGTTGAAAGTAAACATGGATGTCTACTTCGAAAATATACACCATCCAATCCTCGTAAATTACAAAACAAATAGGCTGCCGCACAAATAATGATAATTTTATTCAACGCAAGTATGGTATATTGTATATGCCTGTTTGTACTCTAAATATCAAAATAATTAGGCCGGAAAAACATAAACATTCATTTTCGAATATTGTTGCGGTAAATTATAAGAACATAACAAAATTTTGATGTAATCGTTGACTGTAATAGCGAAAGCATAAATATGTAAAACGAATTTACAACAACAGAAAATACTTTAAATATTTTCGATTTTAACAAGGAAATCTTTTTCAGCTACCAAAAATACTATAAGCAGACAAAGGGCTTAATTTGAAATAAATTAAATATTTAGTAGTGGAATGCTTTGCAGAAATATCAAAAGTGTGCTTTATATGACATGAAGGTAGCAATAGCTCCATTTATCTAGCACATAAGAGCAAAGTATCCTGATGGATGACTCTTTGAAATTCTTCTTCTTGGTAGGCGTAATGCAATTGATTTTTTAGTAGAAATTTGTTCCGCGGTAGAACAACCTTAAACCGACTCTTATCAAAAATGAGTAGGTATTGAGTAAATATGGAAATATTCAAATGTCTGAAGAACATTATAGTTATATGCAGAAGGTACGTTATTTTGTTGTTGGAAATAAAACAGTCAAGAGAAACAATTTTTTCATATAATAGGATGCTCTCTAAATTCACTGGTATAGGCATTTGTTCAACACCAAATTAATTTTGTAGTCTAGTTAATTCGTTAAATAAGTCTTCAGATTTTATTATGATCGGGTACATTGTTTTAAGTTTAGAAAATGTAATCAAATTTTCGATATCTTGCAATACTGAATCGATAATTTCATAAATGTTGATCATTTGATTGAGAATTTTCTCTGTAAGCAGTTTTTTGTATAATAAAGGCTTTTTAATTTATTTTAGAATCTAACAGTTTCTCATTATGGCTAATTTCGTTGATTGTATGATTAAATCTATTGATAACCGATAAAGATAGGGACTTTTCCTTCAAAATATTTGTATATGGAGAATTTTTTGATTGTTTTGCAGTTCTCTAATTAGATACTAGCATTGTTCACCGTCAGAGGCGTCGAGATTTCCTGTTATAGACTCAAAGAAAGATCCTAATCCGTTTATCAACCCTCGTTTGCATATATGGAAAAAGTGTCGATAATTTTTAAAAATTTCTCTTTGTCTACTGTTTAAGTATCCAGATGAATTATATCAAAAGGTTTGGTCGCGGTTGGGCTGATATTCATTTGCATTTTTATGGGATGTCTCTGATATTTGCTTCTTTGACAAATTTCGCATTCATTAATAAATTTTTAAATTGCATCTGTGATATTCGGCCAATAATATTTTTCTTTGATACGTTTCTCTCTTTCTTCGATGATTGCTATTGCTTTCGTGGTACTTTCTGATGATATTCGGTATTTCGTCTTTTTCTATAACGTCGATTAATTTTATTGTACATCTTTTGAATCTCAAGGAAGGCCATTTGCAATTCCTTCGAATTACTTCGCAGAAAGCCTCGTATACGTCTCGGTTTTCAAAATATAAGGAATATAGCTTGCTCGGGACAATATTTTCTTTAACAAATTGTAATGTCATTTTCGATATCACTCTCGGACAATTGGACTATGTATCTTCGTTTTTTCTCAAATAATAGTAGACGTTTTACTTTTGCTAGTGAATGTAAGACTTTCGAAATCAAAACTTGATTGGCTCCGTAGTTGACAGCTGATTCTAAAATGGGTATCCCGACTATAGGCTCTTGATCGTTATTGGTGTGAACTCTCTCGTCACCGTCTTCGTTGTTTTGGATATCAGGGTGTTCATAGATGGGAATACTTTGGGGATCAAGGTCAGGCTGTGCTACGGTTGACATCTGGTCAATATTTTCATTTTGGGATTCTAGTTCTAGTTCCTTATTAAAATAATTTATGTAAGAGACCAAAGTTCGTGATATTGTCGGATTCATTAATGTGTAGTTCAATTCTGCTAAGAGCGTCGGCGTTCGTGATGAGTTTGCCTTTTTTGTAAATGATATTGTAATCAAATTCCTCTTATTATATGCGCCATCTGACTAGTTTGGAACTGGGGTCTTTTTGATTAAATAACCATTGGAGAGGTTTGTGGTCCGTGATTATATTGAATGTACGCCCGAATAAATAGGGCCGGAAGTATTTAGTGGCCCATATGAGGTAAAGCCACTCTTTCTCAAGGACGGAATAGTTACGCTCCGAGTCATTAAGTGTGCGAGAGGCGTATGCTACAGGCAGATCCAGCAGGGGTCGTATTTTCGAATTCATTCGAGTACATTTCGTATACGCAATTTGATTGACTGCAATGTAAATTAAATGGGGAGTATTCGAAATCGAATCAAATTTCGTATGCGAGAATATTCGAAAATACGACCTATGGGGCCTTGCGAGAGCACAGTGCCCAAAGCTACATTGGATGCGTCACGTTTCAAATTGAATGTTTTCGAAAAATCGGGATACTGAAGGATGGGTTCGTTGATTAAGAGGTTTTTACATGCTTCGAAACATTCAACGAATTCAGTACCTATTGTGTTCGATTTTTACACCCTTTTTCAGACATCTAGGTAGAGGTTTAGTGATCTTGGCAATTTTTTTTTATGAACCCTCTGTAGTAACCGAGAAGACCTAGAAACCCTTTTATTTGCTTTGTATTAGAAGGTAATGGGTATTTTTAATGGCTTTGATTTTTTCCGAATTAGGCTTCACGCCGTCTGGTGTCACTACGTGACCTAGGTATGCAACTTCTCTTCTCAGAAATTCACTCTTGTCTAACTGGATTTTGAAATTCGAATTACGTAGTTTTTCTAAAACTGCCCTTAGTCGATCTAATTGTTCTTTTAATGATGTAGAGAACACTATTATATCGTCTAGATATACCAGGCATTGTTCGGTTTGGAGTCCGCGAAGAATATTGTTCATGACCCTTTGAAAGGTGGCAGGGGCATTCGTCAACCCGAATGACATGCAAGTAAAGTCGTATTGGTCATTATCTGTATTGAAAGCAGTCTTCGGTATATCGGCTTCTCCCATTCCAATTTGGTGGAAGCCGCTAGCTAGGTCCAATGTGATAAAATAATGGCATTTCCAAAGTTTGTCGAGAAGATCAGTGATATTAAGAAGGGGGTATTTGTCTTCTACAGGTTTTTCGTTAAGTGCGCGATAGTCGATCACTATTCTCCATTTTTGTACCCCCGAAGCGTCCATTTTCTTTGGCACTTCCCAAATGGGCGAGAACCATGGTGAAGTACTTGGTCTTATAATTTTTTGATTTAGCATCTTACTAATTTGTGTTTCTACTTCTTTTTTATGTATGAACGGGTACCTATAAGACTTCGTATTTACAAGGCGTTCATCAAAGGTTCTAATTGAATGTTTAATGTTGCTAGTGAATATGTCGTATTTTCACGATGAAAAATGTCTGAATATTCTCTGCCTAAATTCAATATTGCACTTTTTTCTTTACAGTTTAGGTGCTCAGTACGAATTTGAGAAGGGTCGAATTTGGGTTGTGGAAAATTAGAAATTTTTGTGATAAAAATTTTCTACTTTAAATGGTTCTGATATATCCATAGTTATCGGTTGGCATGTATTATTCAAAACAGTTGCTAACGCATAACCGTTTTTTGCAATCGTCAGACAACTAGGAATTGCACAGTTATGAAATTTCTGGTAAGGTATTATTACTTCGCCGTTTTGTATGTCGGTTTCTAATTTAGCTACTCGGGAACAGCGAGGCGATATTGTAATATTATGTATCTCCGGTCGTGTTTTATGGAAAAGTGACTTGAGTCGTCTATGAGGCGATCCAAGGAAACCGTTGTTGTAGTCGATCCTAGCCTGCAACATTTTGAGATTATCAAGTCCTATTAAGCCATCAAATACGTTGTGAAATTTGAATAAATAAAATTTTAATTTTTTGGATCTTTTTAA